GGCCAAAGAAAATGAGAAGAATAATGATGCAATGGTTTGGTGTCACTTTAAGTAGCTTAAGCATGAGAGACTCAAGCTATGAAAGAATTTTTTGATGATTTTTCTTACAAGATGCAAATCGCATTTAGTGCTCTTCACGAAATAAAACTTTGCGCGTATGAAAAAATCTTTTTGGAAAGTCCAGGCTTTGGCTTTTCATTGCGATGCGAAAAAGCTCAGCTGAATATAAAGCTATTTGAAAGTTCAAGGCCTCTTTTTTTGATTTCCAACACTTTTTCTGAGGTTATAAAAGCAAAGAAACTCTTTCAGATCACACTTTTGATTATCATGGTATCAAAACCTGTTTAAATTGCATAAAAAAGTCTTTCTAACGATAAAAATTCTACTGCCCGTATTCATAGAACAAGAAGAATCGTTTCGGTATAGAGTGACTAAATGGGGAGTTCGACGACTGCAAACTTGCAATTGCACTCAAATTCTGCTATATGCGCGAATATCACAGATTATCACAATTAGCAGCCAAACTTGCACCTGAGCGCAACTTTTTTCGCAAAAAATGGATATTAGGAAACGGCAGCACGTTGAAACATTTGACCCACTTTGCCAAGAAGAGAAAAACTCAAATTTACTGAATCAGAAAATGGAATATATTTGGATGCAAACTGGTCAGTATTTCACACTTTTTTAGAAATTTTTTATCACTATAGCGTTCCAAAATCGTTACTCAAAATCATCAAAGCAGCAGTAATAGGCGCACAGCATTTACATATGAGCTCTTCAGCTATAACTGTCATGCGACCATCCTATAGGAACAGGCCTATTTTTGAGACAACCGTGTATCTGGGAGGCGTTCATGGGCTACTTTTCGAGATAGGCTGAACATTGTTCTTGCAGAAAAACTTGCACCTCACAACAGCTCAAAGTTACAGCACTTTGAGGAAAATTTCCCAAAAGTTTAAGAACTTTTTTAGTTTATAACTAACGCCACTACTCCGCTTAGAAGTGCCACCTTCAATCACGGTACTTGTACCTCCCTGATGGCCATTGATGACCGAATTATGATAGTCTAAATGAATTTCTCGAGAACTTACGGGAGTTTTATTTTGCGAGTAAAATTTTCTCATGCTCGCATGATAAAAAAGCTTTTGCTCTTGTCTGGGCATTATGTTCTTTAACATCGAAGAGAGGACAATCTGCACAAAAGGAAAAAGACACAGTTCATTATTACGAATCCTACCACTTCATAGGATTATTTGAATTACGAGCGTAACACACTACATCAACTCATTCTTTACAGACGCAGTGCAGCTTTCATCAAACTTCTCTAACCTTCTAATCGCAAGTTCGCTTCAATCCTTTTTTTTCAATTTATCCAAGTCTTGCAAAGGAGACTCAATCAGTCATAAACGTGCGCTTTTCTCTCGTGTACCAGTTAAACAAACCCAAAAATTAATCAGAATTTTTCAGAGCACACTCATACTGCTGAAAACAACTATGAACTTGCTGCTTTTCTTTTTCTTTTGGGGGCTTATTTCTTAGGGCTAACGAATGCTAGTACTCTCTCGCAAAAAGATTCGCAACGCTTGTAAGGCTGAAATTACGTTGTTTCAATGCACAAAAATGTTGTGTTTTCAGCATGGTTTCAAGAAGTGCGAAGGCGACAAATGGACATGCCAAAAAAAGTGTTCCTGCGAGGTATTTGGGGAACCATGCTGACTGAAATGAGCACTTTTCCTCATTGCCTGTTTCTTCTTGTGATAAGATGAAATGAAGCATTGTGCAGCGTGTTTGCAGGGAAATTCAAGGTGAAATACTTTGCTAAGAGTGTGTGGTATTCTCTAAGTACCTTCATTCTGCAACAAAATCAGTCATTTGTCGGCAGCTATGTTTCATAGAAGATCAAGTGAAAAAACCTCCTTACGCAATTTAGCGGAGAACACATTGAACTAAAATTGCTAAAAAGAAGATTATTCCAGCCGTAAAAGTTTTCTTATACTTTGTATCTCTTATTCGCTGTGTAAACGTTTCCACTTTTAATTTATGAGTGTCTTCAAATTGGCACGTCCTGTCGTGGCCATGTTACCGTAAAGAGTTCTATCTAGCTTTTTTGGAAAATTGAGGAAAAGAGCGCGTCTTTCTTCCCATTTGTTGTTCCATTATGACCATAGAAGCTTGTTATCTGAAAAATCAAAACGGCACTCGTGGCAGCAACAGCCGTCATAGGACCCAAGAGACAGGATGGAGTTTCCTAAAAAAACAGATTGATCAGTTGTTAAATTTTGGCTTCTGAGTGCATATTTTGGTATTTTGGGGCAGTGTAGACTTACTGTAAGCAGTAACACCCGACTAATCTACATATCTTCACTGCCCTTTATGGTCTGCTGCCTCAACGTAACGAGGAGGTGCGGCTGGGTATAGTAAGATGGCTCAAAATCAACCAATTAGTCGAGCCACAGATCGTGTTAAATCCTCCCGTCAGGATTCGTTGCCATTTGTCTGTCAAAGCGGATCGGAGTTTTCAGCGTTAAAAAACCACTAATGTCATTTAAAAAGTAGGACATCTTGACACAGTTCAAGCGCCTCACGGCTATCTAAGAAGTGGCGTAAAAATACTAGGTCTACCCAAAAGTAGTTTCGCATTTTTTAGACGGGCGCCACAGTCCGCGTAACAAAGGTTTTTGGGACATATGGTAGCATTCATTGCATCGTTTTACCTTTTTCTATTACTGCACAATCAACGGGCTCCTAAAAGTCAAACTCTGCGAGGGATGCTTTTTGAGAAGCCTTGCCATTGTTCTGAATCTTTATGCCAACTCTCCAAAGAAATCCGAGGAAACCCTACAGCAAAGAGTACTGTTGGAAGCGATTGGAGATCTCTAGACGCTAGCCCTCAATCACAGGGGCTAAGCCGGGGAGGAGGAGTGATTACTAAAAGTCATGCAGTTCGGCCAACTCACGAATGCTTTGCAAGGACTGAAACACTGTCAAACGTGGTCATCGTGTGGCCGACGGTTACGCGGAAATAAGAAGAAGCAATCACGGATATCATTTTGGCCTGCAAAAAACACCTTGGAAGAATCGAAGAAGAAGGAAAACTGATATCAGTCTGGCCACGAATAGTATGTCGCGATTTACACATATGGAAAATCACAAGAACTGTGGACTATAATCGATGCCACCTTGGAAGAATTCGCCAGCCCGGACCATTTATACCTTTTAGCGTCTACCCTGTTGAAAATGGTAGAGTATGGATAGAGGCGAGAGCGCCTGAAAATTTATTTCAGTTTTACGACACTTACTGCGGAATAATGAATACCAGACATCTATATGAAGCCATCAGGATGCGAGCACCCGGCGCAAAATTGGAAGAACTCCTACCGCGCCGAGGTCGACGGCTCCTCGTAGAGGAGGGATGTTGGAAGATGTGACTGGAGATCATCAATACAGAGCTGGCGGGAAGAAGAGGTGGTTTGCCCCTCTTTAAAAAAGGGAAGAAAAAGGGGAAGGCAGAAAAGGGGAAGAAAACGGGAAGCATCGAGAAGAAGAGGCTCGTGGAAGTCGAAAACTGGTTAGGAGAAAACCAGACCTCTCCACGTAAGAACTCACCGAGAAATGATCCAGACATAACTGTGCGAAGGTCTGCTAGAGGGTCAAATCGGGACATTTCCCCCCGATTTCGTGTATTTTCTCGTTGTTTTGTTCGTTGTTGGCCTTGGGGCCGCTGGTCTTCGTTTTGCCATACGGATAAGATTTCTTGTTTTCAATCTGTTCGTGTGCCCAGTTATGGAGGTTAAAACCTCAATAAACCACTAGATAGACACCAGTCTTCCTTCAGTTACAGTACAACTTTAGCCTCCTTCCCTTAGCTTGCCATATTTTTGTTTAGATTTTTTTTTCTTACTCAAAGCACCGGCTCTTAGCAAACCCACGTCAGACACAAACGCATTAAACACCAGAAAAGCTCCGGAACTTGATACTACTAGGTTAATTATGATTCAACACTGATTTTGTGGAACATTCGAGTTTACGGATCCGAAATAACGAATTCAAATTTTTGAGTAGGTTTCACGACAACCGATCTGCTCGTCGTTTCATGTCACAAAGATAGTGGACCAAGCATTTAAATGAGTAGCATCTAATGAAATTTTATTGAAGAATTATGATGAACGTTTTCGAAAGGTTAGAAAAGAAGAAAAAACTCTGGAGAACATGAAAACACCTCCTAAGGCGTGATGGCACTTTGCTTGGATTTTTAAATGATTACAAAAGTATAAATTGAGCTTTCCGAGTTTCTGAAAGACCACGAACATTGCGAAATTTGGAAAAAAAGCTCCAATTTTTTAAAAAAAAATGGTAAAAGTCCAGAGAATGAGGAAATAAACGGATGCAAATAAGGATGTGTTAGAAACTTTAATGAGGTTTGGAATCCTTCAAAGTTAATGTCAAATAGGTTTCTCAATAAGAGAGATATTTTTGCTGACTTTTTCATAAATTTGATAATTTCGGTGTGAGTTATAAATGTGAAACTTGTAGTTCAATGTATACTCGATAAATTTATAGTTTAGGAATTTTTTAGGCAGACTGAGCTAGTCCGAAATTTGCTTGCGACTAATTCATTCTTCCCATCTTTGGTGCTGAAGATTTTAAAAAATTTTGGAATCCAGGGGCGGGTAAAGGAATTGGCAGCATGAAACAACTTAGAACTATGTTCCGCCCTATAAGTGTCACTAACGCAAATTTCTAATAATTTTTCTGAGTTTCATGTTTCAGCAAAACGAACGATGCCAATACTTTCTACTACTCCATTTCTGGACGATGTGCGGACTTGACATGTAGTCAAGATAGAATTTCTGAAAAGTTCACTGGTTGTCGTTTTATCGCATATTGCAATGAAGGTATTTGTATATGTGCGTGTGTTTGTGTGTTTGTGTTTGCAACAAAATGTATGGAAACGTAGAACGAGAAAAAGGCCCAGCGCTGTCGTCCCCGCTATTCTCTACATTTTCGTGTTTTGCATAATATCTTCTTCATTATCACCATCCTCTTCTTCTCTTCCCTCTATGGTCACAGTTCTGTCACCTGGTATCTCATCGTAGTCATCCATTTCTAAATCCTCTTGTTCCAGATCGGCTAAGTTTTACGCCTTTCCAAACTCTATATAATTAATTGGCGTTGCATGGGATAATGGCTAAAGTTTGTAAATTTATTCAATTTGCAGGTTTGAACATCTTTCACTTCCCGCATTCATTCGGGGTTCCTGGCCGCTTTTTCCTTTCCTAGTAAGCGCGCCTTTATATATCCATAAGCGGAATCTTGCTTGTTATGCCTTATGTAGCTTACTGCCTCCACCATTAATCAGTCATAGAAAGCGAATCATGCTAACAAAGCGCAACATTTACATGCCTGCACTTGTTGCACAGTCTTTTTTAAGCTCCTAGCAGCTCGTTCAACTTTCGTTAAAAAGCGGTATCGTATTGCAAGTCTGCTACACATCAACTAAAACACATAATGATTTAAATGTTAGGAATCCTTAGATCACGTTACAGAAAAGATATATTAGGTTGTCCCGAAAGTTTTGTCGGTTTTTTCATCGCTCACTAAAACCCAAAGGAACACCAACTCATGGACGATCTGGGTATCATTTAATTCAGATTTTTATACTCTTTCTTATTGCTATATTTGCTTTCTGATCTACCCTGTCTTTGCAATATTATCGCCATGGATTTTCAAGCAGTTCACCACTATCGCCAAATCTTTCCTGTATTTTAAAAATTTTTATACTGCCGTTTCCAAAGAGCGCTAGTAACTGTTACCTAGAGCAAATCTTTGGCTACATTGTGCCTATTTTAGATTACATGAATCACGTTTATCAAGTCCGTTATAATTATTTATTTAAGAAAAACCGCGGTTTTTTGATTACGTCTACCATGTAGAGTTACCGAAAATTCCAAAAAGCTGATTTTTCAAAGCAAATTAAACTTGGTTATGTTGCATAGTTATTGTTTATTAGCAATCAAGTTCCAATTCGCAAAAATTTCAAGAGCTTTCATGTTTTTGCTGCAGTTTCATGACTTTGCCAAAAATTGAGACCTCCGAAGAAATAATTTTTTAAAGCTAAAGACAGTATTTTAGGAGAATGTAAAAATACCGCCTTGTAGTCCGAGAATTGTTCTATTTGTGCTCTACTTAACCACCTCCGGAACATTTGAATGAAATTTTTAAGAATTAGCCTAACTTTGGGCAGATAGAAATGACGGGTAAAGAATTGTAACAAATATCAAAAAAAGCATACAGGGTTATTGCTAGGAAATGTAACCGTAAGAAAGAGAAGGAAAAGCTGCATCGAATGCATGTTGAAACTCACTCATATCTTCATTGTGTATAGTTTTATAGCGGTTTGAAAAAACAGACAAAATTTTCGGGACAACCTAATATATTTCCAAATCCACTATCCCGCAAGTTCTAACGCGTGTTCGTCCATAATGAAGGACAAAAAAAGCAAGTGGTTCTTTTATTTCCTGCAGCTTTTTCTTCGTGACTACACATGCAGCATCTCGAGAGTAAGGTAAATTACTGCATGGCTTATGTCTCACAAATCTCGCGATTTTGTAGTAGTAACGAATTCATGAGAACGTGTTTTCATAGGCTCGTAACTCGGCGAATTTTATAGACTGGAGCCTGAGTCATGCATCATTCGATAGCACAATTCCTAGTAACTTTGACTTATAAAAGCAAGCAGGCAGGTTCTTTGACAGATACGTGAGAGGTGGGGGCGAAGTTACGAGCTTTCGTGACGCAGTTACAGTCACCTCACCGTATCTCTCCAAGAAGACCCTGTAATCCTCAAAGACCACGATTTTCGTAAAGAGCGTGTTCGAAAACCTCTATAAGCGAAGTTTCCTTACAATTTAAGAGCACGAAAATTTTGACCAAAACCCATCGGCGAGCTTCAGGGCGTAGAACGAGAAAAAATCAAATCACCCAAATTTCTTTGAAAACTTGCTTATAGAGGTTATCCGACCTGCTGATTACGAAAATCACATCTGCTTAGCAGTAGAGCTTCTCATTTTAGGGTCACTGTGGGCAAAATTTGAGACAACACGATTTTCCAGAATTCACCAGCTCTTCTATCTTTTTTCAAAAAGATTCTCCGGTTGCTTCTTAGCGCTCGATAATCTGCGGAAGCAGCACGATCCAAACAGTGCTTAATAGAGTCTTTTATGTTTGATGTGCGCTGCGTTGCGACCTTGTGAATATACGCGCGCAGAGAATTTTGAAAATATTGAAAACAGAATTTCAAGAACATGCTGTATACAGTAAGATTCGACTTGACAAGATGAACACAAATCTGCTTTCTGATTTTGAAAATGTTCATTCTAAAGAAAGTTACGGCTAGTAAAACTTGGAACAGCTTAATTTTTCCAGAGTTTATCAGCTCTTCTAACTCTTTTGAAAGAGTCTTCGGCTGCTGTGTAGCGCACGATAATCTAGTGAAAGAGTACTATCGAACGGTGCCCATGGCAGTTTCTTATGTGTGATGCTTGTTGCGTTACACCCATGCGAAGAGGCGTCGGCATGCAAATTCAAGATTATTGAAAACAAGATATTGGAGACAACCTGTACATCAAAAGATTCGCCTTGACGAGCTGAATACAACATTGTTTTCGGATTTTGAATATACTCATTCGGAAAGAAGTTATGGCCCTGCGTAATTTGCGTGATTCACATGAATTTCGCGGAACTCCCGGAGGTTTTGTACTATAAGAGATAGAGCGATAAAAACTCACACAGCGTTTTCTAAAGTACATTTCTTATTGTATATCAAAAATGTCCAATTTTGTGTCGTCAGTGATAAATGATAAAATGATGATATCAATGACAACGACAGATAAGAATGGCTCAAATTCATGCGGTCGATTTCCACGTTTATCTTCCATATAGGTGCAGAATTCCAGCCCAGGCTTCGGCGTGAAGCGAGTTGAAGCAAAAATGCCATTCTAGGTAAGAATTGGCAGCAATGGCATGTGCCGATGAAAATTCGATCGATTGCTGCAGCGAGGGATCTACCAATTGCACCGAGCAATAGAACTAGAAAAGCCTGTAGATCACTTATAATGAGAGAAAGAGCGATAGAAATTCACGCAGCTTTTCCTACAGTACTTTCCTTACCATATGCAAAAAATGATCCAAAAATGTGTTATTATCAGTAATAAATGATAAAATGCTTATATCAGTGATAAGGGTAGATGAAAACTGCCCAATTTTTCACGATAGTTTTCGATAACGAGAGCCTCGTACCAGAACCCCCTATACGCGATTTACACTGTGATAAATGTTCACAAAAGCCTTAACATAGAAAACAACAAGGTATCATTGTATGTCTACCCCGTCACCACGAACTACGGACATACCGTATATCAAAAGATTCATCTCATCAAGCTGAAGCCAAATCCTCACTCAGTTACAAATAAAGCTCTTTTAAAAGAAGTTATAGCTAAATCTCGCTTATCCCGCAAATCCCGCGAATCCCGCAAATCCCGCGAAGTCGCGAATCCCGCGAATCCCGACAATCCCGCGAATCCCGACAATCCCGCAGTTTTGGACAAATTCTACCGCTGCAACTGTAGTTCTTAGCCAGGTACATGCACCGACTGAAAATTTTTGTCAAAAGCTTCGGTAGTGTTTTGCCGGCACAAGGTCAACTGGTCCCGCCCCGAACGAAATGCACGTGTATCAATTGAAACAGCGCCGGAACAGCTCGGCGCTAACTCGGCGCTGACTCGGCATCGGCGCAGCGCTAGCGTGGCTTTGGCACTGTGGCGGGAGCCTTTGAAAAGCAAATAGTCTTGCCTTGATTCCGGAACTCTGACTCAAGTAACTTCATTATCACAGGGTGCAGCAGACTACGTATTTGAGAACAAATATGGATGGGTCGATCACATAATTAGGAGAGAAGACGATAGGTGCGGAAAAAACCTTGGATTGGATTCTCGCACATTTTTAATAAGACTGTTTGATCACTGTTCAATCTTATGTATCTTATAATTTATTTCAAGCTCAAAGCTGTTGCGCTTAGCTACGTTTCAGTATTCTGAAACCATAAGTTTTGCTCGATCCGATCTTTCCACCGCAAGTTGCGTTTTCTCCGTTCGAAAAGCATAAACGGTGAATCATTGTTATCCAAATTTTTTGTGGCAAATAATATTCGGATGGGCAGCAATAAATGTCGATAGCTTTGCATATGGCACACAAAAGCATGCCATGATACTGTATGCGCCAGCCGCTTTTCCTCACAAAATTTAGCCCCCGCATACGCAAAATTTTTCATAAGGATATTGTGTTTCATCGCTATCATTGCTAAGTCGTTCCACTGCCTACTTTATTAGCTGGTAATTATTATCCGCTGCAAAACTATGATATTTTTCAAGCTTAAACTTGTGCTGCTTTCAAGCTTAGCTACGATTCTGTATTTCTCTATTTTGAAACCATAAGTTTTGCTCATGAGTAACTAAGTATTTGGATTGGAGAGATCACTTTAGAATGTGTGATGAAATACTTTCACGATTTTGGTAATCCATGCTTCAGAAATCGAAACAGCGTTTATTGCCATTTTGTTATTTGCTTGTACTGCATTCAGCTTTATCACTTGAACTTCTGATCCTACCTTTCAAACCACTTCTACTGAAATTTTGCTCATTTTTTATGATTACAATGATTTTACTGAGCATCTCATAAATGCTAAAAAAATTAGATTTGCAAGTTAGGTATCAACTTATGCAAACCAAATACAACATTGCGCTAAATGTTGATATTTTTGTGAAACGAATTATGAGCATGTTAGAATAATTTCTACAGGATCTTAGTTTGCGGAACATTTCCACATTCAAGCTTTACTATAAATCGAGAGTAAATCAAGGTTCCTCTCGCTTATCAGGTTGTTTGGTCATTTGCGAAAGATGGCAATGACTAGGCAGTCCCTAGACATGGACTAAACTGATCATAACAAAAATCTAAGTTTTTTTGTTGTAAATGATCAGTATGATCGGAATACTTGGAATCAAGAGAATTTTCTACCATTTTCTACCAATTTTCTATCCAATTTTC